ACTTGCCACGGTCTCCAACCCTCCTCCTTTCTCATCCGGGCTTGGGACCGGCCATGGCGGAGTTATATTTGGAATCACTTATACAATTAATATTTGTGAAGAGTGGTAAAATTATTCTTTCACTTTCATTCAAGCCACCAGTCACTCATTTCTTTAATTCGTAAAGAACTTCCATCTTAACCTATCTTTACAGACATACTACTGCAAAATAAAACTCAGAATTATATAAGAATTTTATATGTATAGTACTGCAATATTGGAAACGTTTATAGCGTTTTTAAAGTAAGCAGTTCAAAATATTGTACTAACTGATCACTTTAAGGAGGAGGGGTAACATATTACAAAAACCATGCTCAGTATGGTCGCAGACCTTCAGAAAAACTAAGCGAAAAATGTATATGGAACGGCTCAAGCTACTTCAGGAATGAACTCGATTTCATCCTCAGTAACATAAAGAACACACTGCAGGACCTCGCGATGCTGAGCAGGTTTAATGCAGGGAACGATTACAAACTCGCCACGCCTGATGAGGGGTACACCCGAGTTCAGCTTTAGAAAGACAGTAAATGAACGTCAAAATACGCAGGATATTCGACATGGAAGCCATTACAAAGAACCTCCCTCTGTTTCAAGTCAAATTAAACAACCGATTCGAGGTTCTCCACGAAACACAAATGAAACAAGAGAAATAGTGCTCGTAAATGTAATCTGTGAGGATATAAGAAAGACAGTGACAGAAACGGCAAAGAATATCTATGGAACAACGATTAAGAAAGTCGACGGAAACATCTCCAAGCAAATGAAAACACTCATATAGAAATAGAAACCTCATCAAATCAGATATCAGGCATCGAATAAGAACAAACTTTGGGGAAGTGGATGAAAGAACACATCCGAGCACTCATCTACGGATTCGCAAAGGAAATTGTTGAAGACAACCGAAGCATAATAAAAATTGAAGCATAGCAGAAGACAGGACTGTCGTCAAGGACAATCAAGAGAGTCCAATGAGAGTGGGAGATTTCTCCAAAAAATTCTCAAAGATGAAAACAGCAGCACCCTTGGTGAAGATAAGGACTCAGGAGGTAAAAGTGAAGTTGACAAAGTTTCTGATATCTTGCCAAAAGAAATTCGATACGCAACAAAACAGTCAAAACGGACAGGGCTCTTGACGAAGCCGGCAATACATTGGAACTCTTTAAATCCAGAGTTGAAGCGGTGACCAAAATATTAGCATACCTTTAAGAACTGAAAATTTCAAATGACTGGACTGCCACATCTATGATTTTATTGGATAACACTAGAG